CAATAGGAAAATTAATTAAGAATAATAAGTATAATATTTAAAAATAATAATAAAAAGTAAAACAAATGGGTCAACCCGTCAACACGCGAGTTGACCCTAACCTGACCCGTGACCCGTACGGGTTAATAATACGAGTTATTTACGGGTTGCGGGTTGAGATATGTAGACCATAACCCGTTTTTTAAGGGTCAGGTTAGGATTGGGTTGACGGGTCGAGTGTATTTTTGCCAGGTCTAACTCTAGGCAAAGACATCCTTATATTCTCGAAGCAACTTAACCATTTTGGCTCTTTCATCCATAAAAAGAGTGATGCTAATATGTACATGCTTGGGGTTCATTGGATCATCTCCAAGATCAACAACTTTGAGGGGCTCTAAAGAAGTGAGTGCCGGTTGAGCTTCATGAAGGGTTGGCAGCTTGTTTGGTGGTATTAGATGATCAGCTTCACTAGAAAAATCTAAGTGCTTAGCAAGTATCTCATTCCCAGCCTCAAGAGTGTGGCATTTTGCTTTGTTAGAGTTGCCTCATCACCAATCGAAGTACCTCCCTCCGAAGTAAAGAATATATGATCCAAAGACATGGCTACACTACTAGCGATGGGGCCATCTCGTGCATGGCTGAGAGGCCCCGCACACCTTCATAGAGTATATTTGATCCTCCCGCCTGGAAAGACAGTTCGAGTGCACATAGGACATGGTTGGACAGTGTTTCCTACCTCCTTTTTTTGTCTTTTATGCTCTAGGACACTTCAGATATCAAGATTAGGCTTATCTTTGATGTCATTCCATGCTAGTAAGACAATGTCACTAGGGCAAGATACTATTGCTTCACTAGAAGGGGCGAATTCATCATAAAAAGTAGCTTCAATGAAGTGGGTCTCAATCTGATCAAATGGCAATGGGTTGGCAAGGGTGCAGGAAACCTTTCCATTTAGGCGGCCTTTGACACATTGATGATAAGTAGAAGGGACAATTTTGTGTCGATGCAGCCATGGTCTTCCTAGCAATAAGTGATAAGAAACTTTCGCATCAATGACATAGAATGTGGTTTGAGATTGAACTGGACCGACCTTTAATTCAAGCTGAACATATCCAAGGGTGTGTTCACTGCTACTACCAAAGCCAACAATGCTGAGTGAAGACTTGACGATCCTACATCGACCAGTGCACGCCTAACACCGAAAAAGTTGATATGAGCAGATAAGTAAATAGGCTTTCTATGGTTAGGATACGATGCCTCCACATCTTTGTCAATAAATGTAACAGCATTAGAAGATTCAAGATAAGCGTGGCTAACATACACTTCAACGTTAAGGCATTTTCCTCTAGCCTCATTGGCAATGGAGAGTATGGCCTCTGTGGCTCTTTGTCGCACCTCAATAGTGAAGCCAAGCTGATCAAATAACATTTTGAACTTCGGAGTTCGCTGGAGTGCACGGACAAAGAAGTTGGGCGTATTGTTAGGGAATTCAACAATTGGCTCATTTGCTCCAACGCTTTCCACATGAGTGAGAACAGTGATGGCACCTTGGTTGTGGAGTGGGAAAGGATCTTTGTCCACCCTCTGTCTTCTATTTGGTACTTTTAACAACCCCTCTAAGACCTGTCGATGATACATCCTTCTCAAGGAAAAGCAGTCCATGGTAGCATGGTTAACAAAGCAATGGTAGCGACAGTACTTGGGGTTGCGCTTATCATCATTGCTGGGTTCGCGATGTGCCTGAGCCTGAGGTAGTGTGATGGCACCGTCAACGATCCACTGACTAGGAGCATGTCAAGTTCTTCGATAGTGAAAGGAATATAGGTGGTGGCGGTGCCGTGTCACAATCTCTCCTCTTCTGCACTTGTCCTTGGCCCTAGACAGAGACAACCAAGGTGTGGGTAGCAGTTTTCTTTTTTGTCAACTTCCTAGTAGAGATGGCTTTGATAGAAATGGCTGTTCTCTTGGCGGCATCAAGTAGCCTTGCAAACTAGTTGATCCTAATGTTTTCAAGGACAACGCGATATTCCAGAAACATGTTGATGATGCAAATTTCCACTAGGAAGGACTCAACATGGCCGCCATAGCAATCGAGTGCCAAATCCCTAAATCTCTTCACATAGACCATTAAATCTTCCCTAGTGTATTGGTGGGTGTTGTGAAGATCAAGGATGGTGATGCGTTCTTCACTTTGAAAATATTTTTGGCAAAATTGTTCCACCATCTTGTCCCAAGAACGAACAAAGCCAAGAGGCAGAGTGGTGTACCATGTATAAGCTCTGTCAGAGAGAGACTTTGAGAACTCACGTAGACACAAATCTCTGTTATTGGCGTGAACCCCCATGGCATCAAGGAATTTGCTGACATGCTCCACAGTGCTGCCTTTCCTTCCATCGTACTGCAAGAAGGCAGGACTTTCATTTTTCTTTGGGTATGGTTTGGATAGAATCTCCTTTGGATAAGGTGTGTCACGGATGAACTAAAAAGGGGTTGCTCCGTGTTTGGAACGTTCCCTATCTAGGAGAGTAGTAAGATCTACCATGGTGACATAACCTTGGGTGGAATCGGCTGCATTGGGTGGAGCTCCATCGATACTGGTACCTGCAACTACTGGTGGTGTCAAAGTGTTTGGCCACGTAGCAAAACCTCCATTACCATCGGTAGCCCCAGTATGGACTTCATGTGGCTGAGAAGTTCTAGCCATATTGATGGGTTGTGTTGGATCCTGCACAGCATGTTGGGTCTGTACATTGGTGAGGAGTTAAGTAGTCCTTTGCTAGTCTTCGTGTAGGACTCGAATAACTTAAACTAAGGATGCAAGGCTGGGATTAATGATTCCTTGCAAGAGGTCATGAAAAACATCT